AGGTTTGATACTTAGAGGTCTTTGATAATTTGCTAAACAAATTGCTCTTTTATGTCATGTAATATAATGATTGAATTTCTTTTTGCATTGCCAAAGAAATAAATAAGAAAGCCTACTACTGAACGCTGATCCCCAAAGCCCCACATGTTTTGACTTAGGCGACTTCCCTAACTCATTACCTTCATTGTGTGCATCAATGTATTGAACTCCATATTTGTTTGCGAGTAAATCAAACAAATACTAACTTCAGGCTCTTTGACATTATTCTTCTTGAAATAGTTTTCCTAAAAACAGCACCACCCTCTGCATTCCACTTTCTGTCAGTACTAGTCCATTTTATATTGATATGATATTAACTTTTCTGAATAATTTATCTTCACCTCACTCTCTGTATTTTCTTCTATTTTTGCTTTTTCTTCTCACTAAACTTTAATTATCAAGACGAATGGGACCTGGCTTTTTCACTGGTACACCCACGACTCAATGGAAATATGGAGACTAGAATCAGAAATTCAGTGCCCTCTTAAAAAAAAAGAAATAGAAAATTACAAAAGAAATAGAAATTAAAGTTAGTATTTATCCAGAATGCCTCACAAAAATAAACTGTAGGATTTACATTGCTAATAATGACAAGCATTACAAAATAAATAAAACTATATTTTATTATTGCCTAACTATCCCTCCCACCATTTTTAGTAATTTTGTCTTTGATTGCCACTTTAAATTATAATAATTTTGAAATATAACTTTCTGTAAAGCAAATAAGAAAGTTATTCTATCTTTTCTCTAGCATGGCTGATGAAATTTAAATTACTGAAGTTCAGAAAAGCCTTCAAATATCAAAATGCACTATTGTTAGTGACTTGTGCTGTTTAAATTATTGTCAAATACAAAGAAAACATGCCCATGAGATTCTTTAACATATGGACCATAATGTTTAGCAGATTATTCTCCATAAACACTTTTGCTTTATGCATTTCAAATGTGTTTCTTCTCCATCACACACACCTACAGGCCTGGGAATCCCAGGATGTGGGCATATTGCTTCTCAACCTTTGGCCCTGCCTCTCCTTTTCAACATGGAATGACTGTGCAATGGGCAGTAGGGAAGTTCTGGAAGCCATTCCTACACCAGACACCACGATAACCTAACTACAGGTGGCAATAACTGTGTATCATGTAAGTGGGTCTCAGCAAACCTGTCCTGAACGTGTGTCTAACTCAACTTCCTTTAGCTCAGTCCCAGAAATAGCTACACTACCAATCATGACAGAAGGAGCTGGGATGTAAAGAAGACAGCAGCTGTAAGCTTTTCCAGTTAAGACATTTTACTTTTTTAGATTTGTAGATACATGCCACTGTGTGAACACACTGCTAAGGCCTCTCCCAGAACCTTGAAAAATAATCTGTATTAGTAAGGGACCCTGAAACTCAAGCTTTCCAAACTTGGCAGTGAATCTACTCTGCCAGACCCAAATGGTACTTGTAGATACAAAATAAACATCTAAAAAATATTTATCAAATGAATGAATGCAAAATACTTCTTTGTGTTTCTTCCATAGAATTGCTAAAAGTGTCTCCAATTAAATTGGATCCACGAATTATAGGTTATATTTATCATATTAAATATGTGCTAATTGTCTTATTGAGTTATCTGTGCTCAAAACAAAATATGTCAAGAAGATTTATTAATCATAACTACAGATATATTGACTGTTTCTGTTAGCTTTCTATTGGAATTTGACAGTTCTTTGTAATTGTACCACTCCATCGAGGCCATTTCCTCAAAAGTATTGAGTCGGTATTTGGAACATCTCATTACTGAAATTATAGAATTGCTTTCTTCAGTGAATATATTTGCCTTTTTATGAAAAACAAATACTACTCCGCGACATTTATCATCTTTATGACTTCTGGGGGAGTTGTCTAAAAAATTAATGACACAGTAGCTAGAAGGAGCTGAGAATTTTGAAGGGCCATATTTTCCTGATAGAGTGAAAATATAAATTTGTTTAAATTCTAACTGAAGTGTCCTTTCTAGAAAATAGAGATATTGTAGAGAAGAGATTGGGTGATGAAGCTGGATAGGATAGGATAGAATTGGATAGGAGTTGCTTAAGAGTTCCTGATCATGAGAATGCTCTTCTCCCTTCTCTGAAGTTGTGAAATCAGTCACTCTGGTAAGCCAAGGTACCTATACAATCAAATGATCTCTTGTAAAGTCTGACTCTGAGTATACATTTTTGTGCTATTGAAAAACCATGCACCACTGTCTATACCTGGAGACTTAAACAATGCCAGAAATCAAAATGCTTCCTGCAAATGCTAATTTTTTCCACATGGCATCGAGAGTAAGATAGTTGAGAGAAGCTTAAAAGTTATGAGGTAGATGATAGTGTGCTGACAGCCAAGTTATGGACTTACTGCTAGATTTTCTTACACACACTTAACTGAGGATGGTAGAATTCTGTGATGCCAAGCATGGAAATACTAAGCCTCCATTAAATCTATCAACCATGATATTTTTTTGTTCAAAATTTGTCCTTTCTTAAAATTTTTAAATTGGGATCTAATTGGGTTATATACAGTAGTTGTTATGAAAAGATAAATATATGTACAGCCAATCTTTTTGGATATGCTGGTTGAGAAAAATATGTGTATCTGTTTTCAGGAAGACTTGCGCTAAGTGATGTGTGATTGGTTCTAAAGAGGTACTTTGAGAAACTGTGTCATCGAGCATGTTACTGGCTCTATGATTTCCCAATTGCTATAAAATCTTTTAAACTCTCTGGCAGATAATTTGCTGCTGTGCTGCTGTTTACTAAAACTGGAACAAGGGGAGAACAAATCAGTTTAAAAGGATTAAGAAAATGAATAAAAATTATAGGCTGCCTGTAAAAAAAAAAATATATATATATATCCTCCCAGTGTGTTTGTTATAAGTGGAATGGGTCATGTCGTACTTTATCAGGAAAGCACAGGAGTATTCCAGCATGGTTAGAATAAAATAAAGATTTTTTTCTTTGCTTCATGCACCTGCAATAATAAGCATTATTGATTAAAATGTTAAGATCAATAAAGATTTAAAATTGGAGTAGAGGATACCTTACAGAGGAAAGAGGTTGTGGTTTGTTGAGTAGGCAGGCAATTAAATGCTTTGTAGAAAATTGACTTTTTATATCTGAACTGTCAGTTATGCTGCTTGGCCTTCACTTGGCATAGACTCTTGTGCAGTATGCATGTAGGCCTGAAACAATAAGCACTGTTACCAGACGAGTGTATGAAATCTTTGTGAATGTCATGTACAATCTAAAATGAATTGTACAACTTCAGTCCTTCTGAACATGCGTCATTAAAGCTTTCAAAAAGATTCTCTGTAGTGGTAATGAGGAAACTGCTTTTCAAGTCATTTAACATGTTTCTCTAGAATGCAGGTATTTATAATATGTACTGTAACATAGTAATACCTTGTCAGGTTCTTTCTACTATTACAACTGTGATGTTTTAAATTCCTTTCTCCTTTTTTTTTCTTGACTTTCTACGATCTACCAAATTATTTGATATGTGTTCAGCCTCATAAACTATGAATAGTTAGATATTGTTTACCTAGAAGTAATGATAGTGTTTTTTGTTATTTATTACTGTTATTTGTAGGAGAAAATTCTGGGTAGATCTAGAAAAATGAATAAGAAGAATACCAGAAATAGAGAAAGACTTATCAAACTACAATAAGTCAAACAAGGAAGTATAACAGAACAATACAAGTTTTCAGAAACCATTTTAAATTAATGAGCATTTTTAGGAAATATATGCAAAAGCTAGCTCTAAAAATTCCAATTCAGAGACCAGTGCCTAAAAATATTAATAACTAAACACAGGCCTTATGGAATGCTATGGGGAAAATGTGGCAGAAAATAAAAGAAATGCCTGGAGGGAAAGAAAAGAGTAAAGACTCACAAGTCCTTTACTTCTAGTTAGAACACTTTTCAGGGCTGCTGGGGGCACCACATTTTTCTTAACCCCTTCTCACCTCTGGGACAAAACACCTGAGCCACACCTTAAAGGAAGAGAGGCTTACTTTAGCTCACATTTTCATTCCATGCTTGGTGAGCTCCAATGCAGAAAGGATATGGGTGGAAGGAGCTGGTGAAGGGAAGCTACAACATCTTGGCAGCCAGGAAGCAGAGAGCAAAAGGAGGAGCCAGGGATGGAAACACACCCTCCATGCTCACACCCCGTGACCCATGTCTTTCAACTGGAACCCACCTCCCACCGGCACCTGCAGCTGTAGGTTCATCAGCCATGCAGTGCCCCAAGACCCAGTCCAAGTGCCTCAGCTCTGAACATATGAGGCCTTGGGGAGACATTCCAGATCCAAACCATAACACTGTCTTATAACTAATGACACGTTTGTTTGTTTTTGTAACTTACATAGAGAGTTGTTTTAGATTGGATCCAAGAAACGTTTTTGAAATCAAATCTCACCTTTGTGGACAGTAATTTCATTGTTTAGTTTTCTAAGATATATGTGCATAAATAAAAGTCTATTAACTATCCATGTGTACAAATGATGTTGTGAAGTCATTTCTTCTAAACCATGTGAAACATCAATAATATTTTTAAGCTTTATTGTGATTCCAGTTATTTAATTTTCTTTTTTTTTTTTTCTTTTTTTTGGTACCAGAGATCAAACTCAGGACCTTGCACTTTCGAGGCAGGCAGAGGAACCACTGAACTAAATCACAGCCCCAGTTATTTAATTTTCTATGGAGAATTTCTCTTATAAACATAGCTTATTATAGGTTAGTCTTAAATTTAAATTCTTAACTTATAGCTTCCCCAATAACCTTACACAACTATTCTATGTAGAAAAATCAGTGGCTTATTGTCTAGCCATTTTGATTTGGGCTGATTTCCGATTTTGAAATGAATTTCAAACAGTCTCACAAAATATTCCTGCAAACCTGTGGGACCTGACTTGCCTTTGCCTTGAAACATAGGTGCACCCTGAGTGTGACACTGGAGCAGGCCATCATTCTAGCCAGAAGTCACGGGCTGCCTCCTCGCTACATTATGCAGGCCACAGATGTCATGAGGAAGCAGGTAAGTCTTTTCTTGGATAGTTTAGGGTAGTTGCTTTACAGGACCTGTGAAAGGTTCTTTTGTTCATTTATCAGGCATCTAACAGGTGCCTAAATGTGGCAGGCACTTTTCCAAGCACATGACAGCCAAGTAAGTCATGAAAAGAGAAACTCCTAATGACAACACAGGCTTGGATTCTCCGAAGATCTTGTATGACCCTGGGGAAAAAAAAAAGATGATGTCTGTGTGATAACCTCAAAGAGAAAGGGGATTAGCAGGCAAAATGGGACAATGGTGGGCTGGCAGGGAGGGTCATAGGTAAGGAAGCTTGGACATACGGTATTTTCTGGGAATGGTAAATGATTTAGTAAGTTTCTAGAAATAGATTGGGAGAGGGACAGTGGCAAGGAAGAAGAGGAACTTACTGAGGGACTGCTTGACTCTGGCAGTCTCCCTTGCCCCATGCTGTGTGCATTATTCTGAGGATAAAGTACTGACCTCAAGTTTGTTCCATAACTTCTTTGTAAGGCATCATAGCATGTGGGGCCCTCTTTCAGGGAAACCACGCTGACTGGCACCAGCACATATTTCTACCAGCGTCCTTCCGTCACCAGTCTTCTTCTGCGGATTCGGCAGTAGCAGCAAGAGTAGTGGCTGGAGTCTAGTCCCCAAGCCAGCACTTACTCACTCAGGATCTGAGCAGTTAGAATACAAATCTGAATCAAGTACCTCACTTGGATTCTGTTTCCTTTGCCTTTAAACCTCAGAAAAATTGTTTAGCTGTTTCATTCCATTTTTCAGAGAGTGAGTGATTAGAATATTTGCCACATTTACCATGTGTTGATATATTTGTATTATTTCTTTATTGATTTGAATTATTATATATTAAATTACAATAATTTGCTATATATTGAAGCTTATAATGTATAAAGAATATTATTAATAAATAATGTAATGGAGGACTTTAGTTTCTTTTTTAAAAAGAACTTTTTGGCATCTTCTGTTCTTGTTTTAATTTTGGTATTGCTTTCATGTGCAGATTTTGTGTGTGTACTTTGCATACAGATGTTCTTTTTACTTGGGGCTTGAGTTTGAAGACAAGACTAATTCTTTTGATAATGATTATAATAATCATAAGCAGCACTTTTACATAACCAGTGGATCAAATAAAAGGCTTGAGGTAGAAACTATCATTGGCATAAAAAACATAGCTTTCCATATATATGTTATATTGGTGGAACCCTACTCAAAAATTTCTTCTTGACTTTTGTTATAAAAACTAGATTTCCAAAGTATTCTGATCCCTTGCTTTCATACTCATCATAGTATCAAGGCATCATACTCATCACTAAGAATGAAGACATGGGAACAATGAGGTCCTGACTCAGTCTCACGATGCACACATGGGTAGGGAAATTGCCAGGACACAGACACCAATGAGCAAGTGCTCCAAGACTTGTACAACCTCAGGTTATCAGGACGTAGTAAAGGGAGCGAATAAGTAGACTTTGAGCTCCTTGATGGCTGAGGCACTGAGTCTTATTCATTTTGGTGTCACATTTTCCAAGGATAGTACCTAGTACAATGTGAATGCTAAATGATGTTTGTTTATTAAATTGGTTTTAAATAGGATAACTAGGAAAAGTTGTTGTACAGAGAGTGGGTATTTGGTAAGAGTTAAGAGCACAGTGCCTTGAATCAAGCAGCCTCAGTTTGAATCCTAGGTGCTTAGTACTTCAGTGCTTATTGCTCATATAATTTGCAGCAAGATTTTGAGATTTTTCTGTTTGTTAGTTTTCTTGTTTTTATCACAGGCATATAAATAGTACTTGCCTTCTAGTATTGTTTGGATTAAATAATTCAGTATACTTAGTGCACTGAATACTGATATAGTGAGTGACCAGTTATTAGGAAACTAAGATGATTTTTTTATGTGAGCCTTGGATAATAAACATAATGAAGACAGAGAGGAAAAGGAAACAAAATGGTGTTTAGGTAGAGAAAGCAACATGAACAAGGATGTAAAACAACAAATAATTGGCATACTTAGTATATGAAAAATTATACAGAAAATTCAAAGTAAAATGTGCCAATAGATGTGTTCAACATGACAAGCATCAAATTTTAAGAAAACAAACATCTTTCTGTTACTTCCATATTGAAATATTAAAAGATTGTAGACAAAGAATTATACATGAATATTTTAGTCTAGTTAGTAAATCTATTTTTCATTTTGGGCATGACTTAGAAACTGTAAAATAAGTGTATGTGTACAGCATGATTGCAAAAAGAAAGAAAGAAATTATATGAGAAGCCAAAGAAAGTGTTTACAGATAAGGAAAGAGAGAAGACTAGAATCTAAACTGAACCTTGAGCTGGACTGGAATTAGTGGTATCAGTAGGAACTGGTGGATCCCTACACAGACATGAGCATAAGTACATATAAATGTGGAAGTGAATATAGATGTGTTTGTTTGCAATAGTCAACTCTCCCTGTCTTGAAGCAGTAAATTATCAATAGTAATGAATATAGGTGGTATCTTGGCTTCTAGATATCATTCTCCAATAAAAACAGCCCTTAGAGAAATGGTGAGTTACCAGCTGAGATAGGGTAGACAAGTCTGAAACATCTTGAAATGCCAAAAATCAAGAAAGCAGTAAAACAGGATGAGCTCATATCAAGTGGAACAAGAAGCAAACAGAAAGAGCTCCCAGTGGCCACATTTGGAACATTTGGAACCATAAAATGATTGGATTATATCACAGAATAAAATTAATATCTATGAGTCTGTGCTGATTTAAATATATGGTTAAATAACTACATAGTTCTTATTTTATAGAAGAACTCCATTTAATAAACATGGAAGTATTGTTATTGTAGACATGACACACCAGTGTAGGCTCAAAATAGTTCAGTGAATGATCAAAGAGAAATAGGATATTCACACAGTCTTTTAGTAGTGTCTTGCCCACATCTTTGTTAATTCTAAAAGGAGTGGTGATGACTTTATAGTGGAATAATCTGGCAGGCACCACTTTAGCCAAATAATCAAATCTAATGAAGCTGGATAAGACATGTTGATGTCATGTACCCACTTATATGATGCATAGCTAGAGGGAGCACAATGTCACTTCTGTGACATTTTTTATCACAAATATATTTCTTCCCTGTGAGAAAACATCACATAAATCCAAATTGTGACATTCTACAAAATAATGTCCATGCTCCTCAAAAGTATTAAGGTCACAAAAGACCAGAAGTTGCTGAAAATAAAAATTTATGAAAACAATATGCAATACAGGACCAGGAAATGAAAAGGAGTATAATTGGGAAGATGGTGGCATTTTAATAAGATGTGCAGTGTGGTTAAGAATATTAGATTAATGTCAACTCCTGGTTTTGATCATTATGTTATGGTTAGATGAAGGGTTAATATTAGGGGAAGCTAAATGAGGTATGTACAATCCCTGCTCTGTTTTTGCAAACTTTCTCCAACCTCAAATTGTCTCAAATATATGTTCCATTTCCCAAATCTCTTCCTTTTTGCTCCTTCCCCTTTCTCTACTTGCTTTCTTTTGTTAGATCCATCCTGAGAGAATATATTATTTAATTTTCTTCTTTTTCTCCTATTCTTTCTGCCCTTTACTTGGTTCAGTGTTTGGAAACTAGAAGCATTTCAGAGTTTTTTGAGCAACCTCCCTTCACCTATTCTAAGTCACAAAACCTGGTTTTTTGTTCTTTGCAGTAGCTAATTTTTGTTAAGAACTGAACAACAATTATAACTTCAACTTGGAAGATTATAGAGACTTCTTCATAAACAAGGTTATCTTTTTACTATAAAGTTTGAGTCAAAAATTTTAAATTTCAGAAAGCCATATGGATATGACTGATCCAGAAATTACTGTGGAACTATTTGAGAAAATATTTTTGCTAAATATAATTAAGTTTAAAATATCTATTCAACAAGGAAAATCAGGTCTATGACTATGATAGAACTTTGATTTCTATAACATGCAAGTGATAACACAGACCAGGTATTTATAGTTTGATCTTAACTGTTGTCAGTATTTTAAGATACTAATCACTTTTGAGAATAAACACAGACTAGATGAGGTGGTGAACAGGAAACTCTTACCTTATTTTGAATGATGTGATTGGCTATAGGAAAAAACTGGTAATCATTTGAAACAGTAAAGTACATCTTGATTCTTAAAAGCTTTGATTTTGAAAGTGTTCAGATAGTGATTTCTCTCTTACTTCTTCATCCTGTCTCTTCTGATGTTAAATATACTGCTAGAACAACTGCTCCACACTCAGATTTTAGTGTTATGTTAAATAGCACAATGGAGAGCTAAAAGTGATTTTTCTGGCCTTTAGGGAGCAAGAGTTCAGAACACAGCAAAGAATTTGGGAGTCAGAGACCGGACCCCTCAGTCGGCTCCAAGGTAAGTGCATCCTCCGGTCTACTCTTTCCCAGAGGGTGGGGAAGCCTCCTCCAGGCCTTGTCACTAGAGGATAAAGCACCTACTCTAGGAAATGCCCTGGGTCACACTGATGGTAATCATGGCCAGTGCCTTTTAGACCCCCAGGGGCTAAGGGTGATTAAGCAGTCATACTGTCACACTTCACTGAGCAGTATTCCATTTTATAATTCCACCAAGAATTCAAAAGCAGAAATCCACATAGGTACAACTAAACTTTGGATCAAAATATGAGACTGCCAAAATGCCAATTCCACTTATTCTATATTTACACTTATTCTTTCCTCTGCTATGACTGCGCCTCCCATCTGTGTCTACCTTTGGAAAACTACTTAATACATGAAGCCCAGCTCATGTATCATTTTCTGCCTGGAATCTTGTTTGAGTTTATTCTTTTCTGGGTTTCTTTTGCATCTTGTATGTTACTTTATAACAGCCTTAACTCTATTGTGTTGCACTATTTCTTAGCACAAGTCTTTGCCCAGTATTAATACCTAGGAGGAGAGGATGTACTTTTGTGTTTTATTTATTACCTACATCATACTGCCTACAGAGTAGACATCAAATTTGTAAACTGATTTCAAGTGTGTATTAATAAATCAGTAAATCAGCTTTACGCTTGTTATGCAGAAATTCACAGTTCACACATATCCTCCTCGTAAGAAAGAAAGGGCTCTGATCCACCTTTAAAATAAATGGATATAGTTCGCAGGCATAGAAAAATGTTTTGATTTCCCTGGTAATTAAAGTAGGCAGCCATTTATCTTAAATTGGGTCAAAGCTAAACAATTTCTGTTGCATGTGATTGCTGTTACACATTTGCATTTGAACCAAAAGCAGGCTCTTCCAAGCACTGTCACAGACAAAACGCTCTGTATTTGTTTCTATTTACAACGCCATTACCGGGATGAGAACGATGACTGCAGCATTTATGAAGTTATATTTCATTCTGAAAAACTGTGTAGGCAGCGAAAGTGCTTTCAGAAGGAAAAACATATTTTCCCTCTGAAAATGGATGGAACACTCATGTTCTAGCTGCATTTATTTTTAGTGCTCACTCCTAACTGTTTAATCTTCCGGTTAATGTTATCTTTCATAGATGATTAGATTAGAATATAAGACTTTCTCTTGCTGAAGAATAATTTCACATAAGCATTCTCTTCCCAGTGCCTTGAGCAAACATGGCATATTTGTATACCAGACCCACTAAAGTGTTAAAATTCCAGTAAGAAAACAAGATGCTGATCCAGCGAGGTGTTTTTAGCTAGGGTTTAGGAAGCAGTGGGTTGGAATAAGACTTCAGAATCCTGATCAATAAACCAACATGCAAGCTGAACACAAGGAAGAAAACTGATGAGCTCACTTTTTTTTTCTTTTTTGGATCATGTTTAAAGTACTTGAAATGAAAGACAATAAAATGAACCAGCTATAAAGTTGACACTTTTACGAGGGAATAATAACTCCAAGACAGAAATAAAGAGAAATTTAAATTTTTATTTTATTTACTCTTTTCTTCATTCTATAAATATTTATGGAGGATCTAAGAAATGCATGTGTTCTGCTGCTTTGCCCCAGAGAGACTACAACCCTAAGACAGAAATAGTCCTGGCCCTCATGGAGCCTTCAGTTAAAGAACTGAGATGAGGAAAACACCACTGGTCAGATGCAGTCCGTGGAAGCTGTAGGTGTAAGGCCAAGGAACACGAAAGAGCACAAACACCATTTCTGACTCAGAGACAGGAGTTGAAGGTGACATGTGGCTCTCGAGTACAGGACATCTGTGGTTAAAGCTGGTGCAACTAATGTTTCTGAAAGTTACACTTGTGGAAGTCTAGAAATGAGTACAAACTGTCATGAGAACACAGAAAGAGGGCAGAACACAGCCTAAGGGTGGAGAAGGGAAGTCACAGAATACTTGTGGCCCAGTCAGAATGGTGAGAGTGTCCCATACCGCAGATACATTGGCACAGGGGCCCAAAGAACATGTCATATTCTGAGAATTCAGCTTCTATGACTGGGGATTTCATGTGATTTAAGAGCAAGGTGAAGTAAGCTAAAAGTGTAGGCAGGAATCAGGTCAGGAAGAGATTTATAGGAGATCTTGAAGAGCTTTCTTTTTGATTTAAAGACATTAATCTCCCTCTCTGGAATACTTGAATTTTAGAATTTATCTTTAGCAACATTAAGAGGGTCCATTTGAGGACAATTAAGACTGAAGAGACTTGAAAGGAGACTAAGAATTGAGAATCAGGATGAGAAGGTGCATTAGGGAGATACTTAGAAGACAGAATTAATAGTCTTTGGACACTAAATAAAAATAGTTGAGGAAAAGGAATGTTCTAGGATGCCTGCAAAATCTTTGGCTTAAATAACAAAGGATTAACGATTCTTGCCCCCGAGATAGTGGAAGCAGAGGGAAAGAGTACATTGGGAAGTGTTGATGAGCTCATGTTGGTTTAAGATTGAGGAGTGAGAGGATAGCTAAGTGGAGAAGCCTTTTTGGGCAGTTCAGTACCCCAATCTAAAGTTGAGGAGGGAAGTACAGGTGGAGCTATAGTCCTACAACTCATATTCAGGAGTTCAATAAAGACCTAGAAATGAATTTTGTTACCATAGTGAATGGGCAACAGAGATGACAAAAGGTTGGGAACCATCAGCAGTGACGAGAAAGCAGAGGAAGGGATTGACAGAATATACAATGTACTGGAGAAAATGAAAGAAAGAAAGAGATAGTTCTTCTGGAATTTGAAAAGGAGGAAGTGGCCATAGGTACACCACAGAAAGATTGAACATAATAATTCAGGGAGTCAGAGTTCCGGAGAACAGAATATTGAAGTTTAATAATTCTGAGATAGGTTGGTTCCAGGTAGTGAATTTCCTGGATATCCTTGACTCTGTCAGTGTGGAAAGTCCACTTTAGCAACTGGTTTCTTCAATATGTGTTAGGAACTGCTTTTGGCATTGGGATCTCAAGATGGATGGGACTCATTTTACATGTTCATGGATCTTCCACCTAATGGGACAAAACAAACCTGGGGCATCAGGTAAATGTGTGCTGTGACAGAATGGCAGGAGCCAAAAGCAGAAGCCAGTCCTTCCTTTCTTCTGACTTCCACATATGGGTTGGCTCTGCAGAGATCCGAAGCAAATCTTCGTCAAGGACCAAAATATTACATTTGTGATATTGAATTACTAGTGTGGCACACTGACCTTATTTTCTATTATGTCAAAAAATTTGCAACTATTAGGTGTTTAATGCCTGATTTTCTTTTGTTTATTTAATTTAGAAACAAACATTGGTTAAAAAGTGGAAAACAAATTGGTTTTTAGCCCCACTTTGAGTCCTCCTTGTGACCTTATTTAGTCAGGTGTACTGTTTTTCCTCTCTGAGACAGTATTTTTCATCTGCAAGATGGGGAGAACTGCTTCGAAACAGGATACCATTGATACTTCACCTGTCACAGAGTCATTTGCTTTGTGGGCTCTTTTAACACATCTTATATTTGTGCTGGATAGAAGATAAAGGATATGTTCTGTGGGATGAATTTGAAAGATCTGTTCTGCAGATTTGGATCTGAGCTAAAATGCCAGCTCTGCAATGGCTGCCTGAGCCCAAACAGGAATAAGAGGAAAGTGAAGCCCAGAATAAACCTTGTTTGTGGAGATCACTGGTGTGCATGAGTACTTGGCCCCAGATGTTGGCAAAGGCCTACACTGCCCTGCCCACCAGTTTAGCTGCCAAAATACAAATGCCTCAGTACAGAGTCAAAGTCCAACTCTTTACCTGTTCCATTTTACTTCCCAGCTTCATCTCCTTGCTCTAAATTCCCAAAGCTCCACAACTTCCATTACAAATGTATTTGAACTCACATAACCCTGAGTCGCTTCCAAGAAGACTCACAGAAGCTGAAGCTACCCAGCTCTGCAGTTCCCCGAGCTATTATTAGCTATTATTAGCTATCGTTAGGTGATCACGGGGAGTAGACTTTGCTCCAGTTTGCAAGGAAGGCATTTCAAAGTTTCATCTACCTGGTGGCATTAGTTACGTTCTGTGGGGTGTGCAGAGCAAGGTAATAGCATCTGATGGCTCTGCCCAGAGCTCACTCCTCTCTCATTACTGTTCTGACTAAGGCCATTGTGCCATTTCACTCATCAGGCAACACTGTCAGCGAAATAAGAGGATAAAAATTAAGAAGAAAAAACTTCTGATCATTCTATTATTCTATCCCTGGGAAGGCAACTTGAGCAGCACCACATCTTTCAGCTGCAAAAATACCTTTCAAGTGCACCAGCTCAATTTAATATATTCTTTTCTCTATGAAATAAGCTTTTTTGATGTGACATGTCCTTGGTTCCACATTCACCTTTTCCATGGAGATAACACATAGAACATAAACCGTGTTCCAAACTTGCAGTACATTTTGCAAACCTTCAGTGGTAATAACTTCTGCATTTCCAGACAAAGAAAGTTCATTCATTAGCCAGATTTACAACTCAGTATTAAATCTTTCTCATTCTTACCTCATTGATTTAGAATCAGCATGGGATTAAATGTCGAAAGGAGAGGAAGTTTATAATTCTTTAGATTGGTTAGTAACTCATTTAAGCTGTGTCCAGTCTAATCTGTAAAAGAACCGGGGATTTTACTCAGTGTTTCGGCCTCCTACTTAGCAGGCTCAAGGTCCCAAGTTGGATTCCCAGTACCTAAAACAAACAAACAAACAAACAAACAAACAAAAAACAAAAAAAGGAGTGAGTCACCACAGCTAACCCTGGATTTTGATTGCTTCTTTAACAAGATGTGTAAGGGTGTGGCTTAGTGGTGGAGGATTTGGCTTGCTTACCTGCACTGAGTTTGATCCTAAGCACCACAGAGAAGGGGAGAATTCAGAGAATAGGTTTTGCTACCAGCAAAGTGAACAGCTTGAGTTGCACTGGAGAGGAGCAGCGGATTTTTATAATGCAATGGTGTTCAGTCAACATACAGAGATATAAAGTAACGGAGTGTTTTCTAAATTAGAGGACCAGATTTTTAGAGTTTGCTAATTCATATACTATTTTAGAAAAATAGACAATGTCATAATGACTTTATGGAACAAAGAAATTATTATCAGTGTATCTGTTTTAACAATAAAAACATCTCAGGTAAGGGCAGACACCTGCATAGCTGTCAAACTTTTCTGTCTTTTTTAGACTGTACAAGCTCTGCGAACCACCTCCCCCAGTCGGAGAAGAATGAAGAGAATTGCCACTGAGCCAGGCAAGCAAAAGCTTCCTAACACTGGCCTAGACAAAGTACATGCTGGTCCAGCATTTCCTAGTGATGATAAAGGAATGCATTTTTTCCTTCATGATGTAAATGACTAATATTCAGTTTGTGCTTGGATATGTATGCTGGAAATGTTTATTCAAACAGTTCGTACCCTCCCCCCAAAAACCTGATCTCTCTGCATACTGACATTAAATATTAATTCACAGGACAAAATTCATCTCTAGAATTGATAAAAAAGAGGTATCAGATAAAAAATAACTACCATGCATCATCTTTCATTCAGTAATTTTATTGTGTTTGATTTCAATTTTCCCAAATGGACTCATTGTAATAATGGGTAGTTTTGATTAAAGAAAACAGTCACTGAGGAAAGATGGCCACACGCTACAGATCATAATGCAAAAATAGTAAGGACGGTATAGACTGGGTGATACACGTGTTTTGTCCTCCGAAAGTCCCAGAGAAAGACATGTGCATGGAGGTGGCGAACCTGCTTCACTTCTGCTTTGCAGGAGCAAAGAAGAGATATAGAGACATCCTGCTACTTTCTGGTGTACTTATGCCCATGGACTAAGCCAGTGAGTTGGCTCTGGCCCTGGTCTCTGCTATGGGCATGGTTCCCCTCGGCTGTGTACACTGGCTGCTATATCATTGGTGACCATGGGTAGGAAGTGGCCGGGAGTGAAAAGATAAAAGGAAGCAAAGTGAATAAAAAAGAGAAAAATAAGTCTGTACAAAACTCAGCCTTTGACTTAGAAAATCTCAGACTCTTAAAGAATATACCATTATGAGTATTTTTTTAATTGAGGTATATGTATAAGAAAAATAAAGTTTTATTTATTGTACTTTAAAAGGATCATTACAAACCTTGATAATTTATGAATACAAGGCATATTCTGTCTTCATTCTAAATATATGTAATGTTTACCATTTTATATTGATGTAATAACATTGGTTTTATTATTTTGGATACATTAACATTGATTTTTAAATTAATAATTTTCAAAAGAATAAAGACTGTAATAATTATAGTCATACTTTACTTAATCATGGGGATCCAGAGGGATAAGTAAGTTCTGAGAAATGTATAAGTAGTCAGTGTTTTGTAAAAACATCATACAGTCCACTTACACAAGCTAAGACAATATTGTTCGATAATATGAACTATGGGACCACTCTTAACATGCTGTCCACTGTGGACCACATCCCTGTGTAGAACATGTCTGCACATGATTTGAAACAAAATATGTTCAATACTTTTATAACTAAAATTTAGGCAAACCATTATTAGATTATAATTTGTGAAACCTAATTATGGCTTTCAAAATCTTACTAAAAACCATCACTAGCAGTTGTGTATTAAATAATAAAAAATGCTTCATTACATATGTACTTATATACTGCTGGTCAAGGTGATAATAAATATTAATTGGCACAGAAGCACTTGAATCTTTTGTGTTTTACACATATGTATAATGGCAAGTTAGCCTACATCATAAAAGGTTGAATATTTTCAGTTTAATAAAGATAGAGCCTTTACACAAAAGAATATTCTTAAGATTATCAGTAAGTGAAGCCTCATGTATCCTGAAGGCTCATGTAAATTATAATTTTCCTTCTACTGAAAATGTGATAACTATCATTGTAGGGTTAATAAGTGAACACAACTGATTAACTTTTCGTATCATCATGACTGTTTTCTAATCACTACCTTGAAAGGGTCACCTGAATAATTCATTTGTACTTTGCCATAATCTCATGGGGCACATTATGTGCTATTGTGGTATTTATAAATCAATATATTTTAAGGATCTGCTCTTCATACAATAAGATTGCTTAATATTATTTTTAGAGTAAGACATAAGTGTACCACCTATCCATGAACATGGTACTTACTAAATGCTTAAAAATTAAAACTAGTTTATGTTAACTTTGATCACTGTGATTTTTTATTTTAATAAAAATTGTAACTAACATTTTATAAGTGATTACTGTGTACCAAATAATACCTCTGATTGTTTTGCCCATAGTTTGTTATTACTATTCCATATATCCTCATAATTGTGATGTAAAACAGTATATTTCCCCAAAAGAATGGCCCGATGACTTAAACAAATTCATATGAATAACAAGTGCTAGAACCAAAATTTAAATCCAAGAGTTCTGCCTTCTTAATACATTATCCTTAATATCCTTAGTAATATCACTATTTTAATATAATGAATTATTTTATTAAAGTTGAGGTTATAAGGCATGTAGTGCCATTTAACTATACCTTTCATATTGATCAAAACAAATGAAAATATATAATGTGTCTTTAACATAAAAATTATAAGATCTCCTGCAAATTTTACCATAATGTATATAAATTTTGAAAGAGCCTATACTATAACCTAGAAAATATTATCATATTTTCCCATAATTAGAAGCAACACTTTTAGATAGGCATTGAAAGCTGAAATAATATATCAGATAAAACTTGACTATTATTTTCAAACAGTGGCAACCATAAAAATTCTAATGTATCAATGAATGATTACAAAATTTTAATACCATAATTTACATCCTTATGACTTTGGACATTTAACTGTTCTTGAGTTTTTAGAATATGTTTACCTAAATGCTAAAAGCTCCTTTATAACTAGTGTTTCTTCAAATGCTATTGAAGCCTGCTTATTGTTTTATCCAAGTTCTGAGTTTGGACATTTTCCCCTCTCTATCTAAATTGCATTGATACTTTAGATCTGAACATGAGATCGCTTTAAAACAGTGTCAATAATTCACAGCCAATACAACATAAACATTCTGTAATGTCTTTATATATTTCTAATATTAATTTCAAATATATAATTTGATATAATTCAAATATATATTTATGATGAATTTCAAATGTATAATTTGATATAATTTTAAAATATGAGGAATTTGAACCTAGAAATTTGTATCAACTATTACAAAAGAGAATGAAAGAATGAGAGAGAAAAAAATTTATGTACTAGTCTTTCTGATATTGGATATCTAATTTTGAATTTAGAGTCTAAACTGTATAACCAATATCCTAATCTGAACCCTTATACTATTTTCTGTCTCTTTAAAGTATCTTCTTCCAATGACTTAGATTTCCTGTGCGTTCATTGGCAGCAATAATATTAAATTTAAAACAGGTTCATTTCTTAGGATACCAAAAATTAAATGACATTGGATATGACTCTATGAATTAATTTCAGTTTTGTAATCCCTTAATTAAGAGTGAAGTAAAGTTACCATAAGAAACAAGAAAAAAAATGGGTAAACAAATCCTAAAAGCCATATTAACTAATTTAAACCATTTTCAGTCATTCTGGCAATACAATTTTTAAGTTTATATTTATTCATTTGGAAGCATTTGATTAAAAGTAAATTATTCCATGTATTTAAAAAAATTACACTCAATGGTGCCACCACCTGCCTTGCAAGCACATGAACTCGAGTTTGATCCCTACTACCAAAAAAAAAATGTAATACATTTCTATTCAAAATACTAGTGTATTTTTATTATTTCAAGTAGATCTTTTCCTATGTTGCATAATGTAATGCAGATTAGTAGACATAATTTTATTCATGTGTATTTTCATAAAATCAAAACATGAAAATTTAAAATGAATAGCCTTCCTTCAACTCATTCCTACTTTATGTTTTACTTTAAAGGTAATTTTCAGAGCTTCTGCATTTCATCACTAACAAATAATATTGAGACTAACTAACCTGTAACATTTGACTGAGTTGCTTCTAAATCTTTGGAAACTACGCTTAATGTTTATTGACTTACTTTATGTGAATTATCTCACTAAATTATAGATTAATAAGTTTCCTATAGTCAGTAATAATTTCATTAACATGCATATGTTAACCAATTCTCAGACTGGTCAGATGTCCTGCTTCAGTACTAGGGCAAAAGATTTTGAAATGGTTTAAGAGAAATGAATTTCTATTAAGCAGAACATTCTATGGTGTATTAAGTGTTTGGAATTGGGGTGATGAATCCCAGCAAAGTTTTACCCTTAGAAAGGTGGGGAAAGTTTTAAGGTGGGTCTGTGCCAAGAATGGCCCCAGGGTATTCCCTGAATAAATATTGGCTACCATCTTCCTAGGTGCTGCAACTCCATAATAGTCATTATGTTATGGTTAGACTTTGGTTTCAGAAAAATGTTACTGCCTCAAAGACTTGCCATTAACAGTTTCTCAGCACTCATATTACATTGCCAAGCATTTTCTGGCATGCAAGTAAGACAGGTAAAGAAGAGCCTGTGCATCCTTTAGAGGTTGTTAACTAGACACAGGCCTACTTCACTCAGGATAGTTTGTGTCTTTCACTGAGAAGAGATTTCTGAAGTCTACTAAGTGTACTAAGTGATTATATATGTGTATGTCAATGTCTATGTATATTATATAATATTCACTACTTGTGTTTTTATAATACATTTTTAGTCACTTAAATTCTTATGTCTTGTTTCATATGAGATGGAAAATGGAGTCATTCTGTGTTAGCATTGTAGACATGACAATGATCGATGCAGTATAGTTAAATATCTTTTGATCACTGGCTGGCTGTTTGCACTGGTCAACTTTCTGTCATTGTTAAAAAAAAAAATACCTGAGATAATGAACTTATAAGAGAAAGGTTTGGTTTTGGCTCACAACTTGTGAGGTTTCAGTCTGTGACCAGTTGGCCTTATGCTTTGGGCTTGTGACAAAGTAGCACACCATAGCAGGGGAATGAGAACAGAGCAAAACTGCTCACCTCATGGTCAGGAAGCGAGAAGGAGAGAGGAAAGGACCAGGGTACCCAGGATCAAGAATGCACCCCAAATTACCTAAGGGCTTCCCAGAGAGCCTCACTTCCCAAAGGTTCTGCCACCTCCCAATAATGCTGCCTGGACCAAGCTGCTGACACGTGTGCCTCTGGGGAGCATTCAGCATCCAAGTTACTGCACTATATAATCTAAAGCAGATGATCTGGCTTGGATATCAAAAAGCAGATGATTTTTTAAAATTTTTTAAAATTACACTACTAGAAATAAAGAGCTTTTAATAGTTCATTTTAGATTAAAAGAAAACCCCAAATGCCATGTATTCATTCAACAAGTGTTTCGCAGAATTCACTTTTCACAGGCATGGCCAGGGGTCTGGTGGAACTGTTGAATGTGTTTGGATCAAAAATCTTCAGTGTTTCCATGTGTTTTTGATCACTGTCTCTTACTTAAAGTGACATTATTTGTAACACAAACCTATTTTAATACATGTACATATGCATACTGTATGTAGCCAAGAACACTAAGTTGGTGAAACATTTTAGAAAACATACATTTGAATTTCAATGTCTAGTGACACAAGCAAATTTATTAGTATTCCAGATAAATATATATTTTTGTAACTGTAAAGTAAATGACTAGAACATAGCATTTTACTTAAAAATATTTTTATAAGCATGCAGTATTCACTACTTTAAATAGCAAAATATCAACTTGTTTCTTTAGTAAGTGTTTTGAACATATGTGTATTTAACATTGTATAACATCCACAATTTAATGATAAATTTCATCTGAATGTATTATTGGTCTTGTTTTCTTTTGTAAAATATCTATGTGAAATAGGTTCAATCACGCTATATTTTGTGTATGGTTAAAATTATCAGAGTGCATTATGTATTTTATGTCATTCGTATTTGTCTGCATAAAACTTTGTATCCCAAGTGTCAACAATAATAAATTGTAGTGTTACCAGTTCAACTTCTTTCCATTTATATTTAATTCATTCCTTTTAAATCTTAGCTGTTTGAAAGACAGAAACCATGAAACAGATTTTCACCCTTCAAGACCGTGAGGATGGGAAGGGAAGATGGGGAAGAAGGAGAGAGGAGATAGAAATGATCGACAACACAGTATGTGTATGGACCAGTTCCCTAAGAAGAATCACTAACATGTATGAATTAAAAAAAAAGAGCTCACAAACTCAATGCATGTATGAAAAAAAATCTACAAATATGACTGGGAGAGATGATAACTGCTAAGGAGGAAACAGAAAACAGAAGCTTACATAGGCCACAACATAGGAAAACTCCTCAGGAGACCACAGACTTATACTATTCTGTGCATTAAATAGCCAATCTCGCAAGTCTTATGTAGTTCTTACTATATGGGAGCCACTGCCTAGTTGGAGAGTCTTACAAATGTATGTAATTCCGAAAATGTAAGGTTAAGGAGCTTGTCGTTCTTCAAGGTGATTCATGAAGTACACAGAATGGTAGCTAGCAACCTAAGATAATTCATACTAACACTAAACGAGATAAGGCCATGAGAAGCATGCACTGTAGAAACTCAAGAGAATTTTGATTCAATCAAGCATGAATGTACTAGACATAGACAGAATACTTAGCTACTGAGCTAAGCTAGATATCTCATAAGTAAAAATACATGTATAGCCATTGCCCTTATGGAATTTACAGTCTAAGGGGAAAAATATGATATTTTAAAAATACAAAAATGTTAAGAAAATACTAGGTCAGCAAAGGTGGTCTGTTTTCGGCATGACTAAGATTAAGCAAAACAAAAAGAGAACCTTTGTAACCTTAACAAAATGAGCATGAAAATGAACACAATGATCGAAACAAACAGGTGTCAATGGTGTGGTGAGTAGGTTCACCTGTCCAGAGGATATAGATCTGGGGATGTGGTTAGAAGAGCTCGGTGGTAAGTGAGATTAAGTCTGGGTGATATGGATCTCTAGATGCCACACTAAGAAGTCTGGACAGTGGACACCGTGAGTATAAGAGAAGCGATGAATAATTGATGACAGTCATAAAGAATTATGAATACCAAGTGGGAAGTTAGAATATGTGTACATTGTAGACTTGAAGGCTGGCTTAGAAATGCCAAAACTAATAAGTGAGGGAAATGAAAATCAATAACTGGATTTTGCTTTTTGGAGATTGATGGTATACTCTGAGATGGTAGGTTTAATACAGTTTTAAAAATAAAAACATAGAATCAACAAGCATAGGCTGTTTTAGAGCAGCTTACCGAGCTAGGTGTGGTGACACATATTTTCCAGCATTTGGGAGGCTGAGGCAGGAGACCAGCCTGGCCTACATAGTGAGTTCAAGGCCTGCAGGAGACCCTGTCTCAAAAATCAAAAAAATACAACACCTTGCCAAATACCTGTGTTCCACAGATGCCATTAGGTCTGAACACATACACTAATACCGTGCATACGAGTATTTTGTGGTAAAACAAATTTAAGAAAAACAAAGTTAAACAGGTTTATTATAGGACCTCCCCAGGCTTCTAATACAATAATAAGCGTGACTTAGGAGTAGAAAAGTTGTAACCAACCCAGGTCTCTAGTCCATTTTGGAGCCAACTGTACCTGACCCAACAGCCAGCCTTCACTAGCAGTCTGATCTCAGGTCCCTCCTGTCCCAGGTATCACCTGTGGGAGACAGCCCACTACTTCAAGCTTTCCCCACCCAGGTGCCAATCGTGAGGGACCTAGACCTGCTATTTTGTTCTCTTTGACCCCAGGGGAAATGAAGATGAATGGCAAAGAGACACAAGTCAGTATAACATGCAGGCAGCCAAGGACTCTTGCCTGTAGTAGACAGAGAAATCCCACACTCCCACTTGCCTCTGGCTCATCTGACCTTTATTCATCTAAACACAAGTACAAGCAATCAAAGTAACCCAAGATTCATCTGCTTTCCAATACACATTAGTATGTGTTCAGATAAACAACTTAACCTTGGCTGTTTTAAACTTTTCCTAGACCCCGCAGTGCCATCACCCCTGAGTGCAGTCTTTCTCCTTTGTGCTCACAGAGGCCAATTAAGCCTCAATTCTCTGGTCTTCCACAAGAGGTGATTACACTGTTTCCTAAACTCGCTAGAAGGAAGGATGTATTTCATGCAGGACTTGTAAATGTATTTTCAGAATGCAAATGTTGATCAAAGCACAATATGGAAAAACTTTTAGAAATTATGTAGTACGAAAGGAAAGGTAAATATGTTAATGGGAGATGGTAGACTCTTTACCTGGTGGTGTTGCATTTGGGGGTTCAAGGAAGAAATGGCAACTCTTTGCATAAATGAACACTAACAACAGATTATAATTGAGAGCAGGTTGTGACTGTAATCTTTGTTCTCTCACCATTCATCTATGTTCAGGCTCTAATGGCCAATAGAAATTTATTCCACCAAAGGAAGAATGCAAATGCCTGAGCTCCTTTCTATCTCTTAAGCCTTTAAATATGAAGACATGTTGAACTAGGTCCCCATTCCCTAGAGTCCGAGATTTAGTACCAGTTCGTAGCCTATTAACTTGGCCACACAGTGAGAAGCAAGCAGTGGGTGGGCAAATGAAGCTTCATTTGTATTCATAGCTGCTCTTTGTGGCTCACATTATGCCATGAGCTCTGCCTCCTGATAGGAGCATGAACCCTACTGTGAACTGTGTATTTGGGGGATCTAGGTTGGGTACTTCTTATGTAAATCTAATCCTGAAACTATTCCCCCAACCCCTCTGCTGTGGCTAATATCTAGATGTCTTCCCAAACCCACGTGCTCATAGGTGGAGTTTTTCAGAGGAGGCTGGATTGAGGGTGTGTGATACTGAGGTTGAATATGGGTGTTAACTAAATGGATTTAGCATAGTTCTAGGGGTGGATAATGTGAAGGTGCATTCTGGGTCTGGGTGGCACTGTTCTAAAGATTTATAGTCTAGAAGGAATAAAAGGGGAAGGGAGGCTTGCTGCTGCTGATTTCTGCCAGCTCTGCCATAGACTGCTTCTCCTCTGCCATGCGGCCGTTCCCTGGAACCAGCTGACTATGGACTGAAACCTCTATAAATTGAGCTAAAATAAAGCTCTCCTCCTTTAACTCATGGGTGTCAGGTATTTTGTCCCAGTCACAAAAGAGTGACTAAAACATCCTTTGTTGAAAAATTGTCTTTCATGAGTCTGGTCCCTGGTACCAAAAAGGTTGGGGACTGCAGAACTGAAGGAAATTATTATATTAAAGCTTGGCTCTAGTTTGCCATGATTTCTGAGCTAAATTTGTAATGTTTGATGCCATAACCAAGATATCATGAATTGAAAGTGAAGAGCTAGTTTTTTTTTTTTTCACAAAAAAATATTTAAAAGACACACATTAAGTGTGGGAGTCTCTAGTTTGACATCAATTGGCTATTTAAAGATGATCTGAATACATTGATTAAAACTTATCATTGACTACTTTAGGCCAGGTCCTGATATAACCCTCCAAGTCTGGGCAGGTTTTTCTCACCTAGGCAAGATCCATGATTTCTTTAGCTTAGAATTTTACCAGATCTAAAGAGAAGCTCTTTCATTGTTAATGAAAGTGAATACATAGAAGGAAGTCTCAGTACAAGATTGTCTGGAAATTCAGCAAGTCAAAGTCAGAGTCTTAGACTCTCTGTCCTTGATTCATAGTGTTGATCTCCCTAAGGACAAGCCTGTGAACTCCTTGCCAGAACAGTGATAAAATATATTATTCCAAAGCTATGTTCTCAGAGGAAAAGGCAGTGATCACCACATGATATACTAGAGTGTTTTGTCTAGGGCACTTTCATTCGGAGGGATGAAGACAAGTGAAGATATAAATCATGATCAAAGAATGACTAAGGACATGCAGGGATTCATTGCTAGACAATATTAGGTCTACCAAGAACTGCTGCTGCTCTGATTGCCCACATGCTGCCTCACTGTTAAAAATGTTTACAGGCAAGACATTAGGACACTCCCTAACTTAGCAATGAGCGATCTGGAATCTGGAAGTCAATACAGAGAAAAGAATAGGCCAGGAGATGAACAGAGGGTTTTATACACAATCTTAGAAAAACTTAGATTTGTGTAAAACATCAATTGGATGATATCCAGAATATCATTTTTCTTCATTCCTTTACTTAGCTGAAATTCACAACATAAAACTATTTTAAAATGTACAATTTAGGGCACTGTTCTCTATTGCAAGGTGGCCTGCCCTCACAAGAGAAAAGAAGTAGTGTACTTCTTTTCCTACTTTTATTTGGCCCAAATTCACTCTGCAGAGCTTGTTTCTTTTCCTGCCTTCAATATGTACAGATATGTTTTTTAATTAACATTTAGTACATTCACAAAACTGTACGATCATCACCTTTAGTTCAAAAATGTTTTCATCATCCTGAAATAAGTTTTTTCTTTTTATTTTGAGACAATTATAGATTCACATTTTTGACAAAAGTAGAAAAGCAGTTCAAAACTAGGGCTAACTAGAATTTTTAGACTTGACCAAAAGGCCATACTCCATAAAAGGAAAAGCTGAAAATTTTGATCTTATCAAAATTTAATTTTTTTTCCATCTTGAAGCTTATCTGACAGACAATGAAAGACAAGCTACAGGCTGGGAGAAAATAGTTATAAATTGATCCCATAAATTATTTGTGTGGTAGAACTTGAAAGAATTCTGAAAGAGGGAAGGAAAGGATAAGGAATGGAAAAAAAAAAAAGGAATTAGGGATGTGTGTTGTATATGTACCCATGCCAACCAAGAGATGTAAACATTATGTACTGCAAATATACAAAAAAAAAAAAAAAAAAAAAAA